GTGGTTGTTGTTGGTCTCCGCCTTGCTTCGATCCGGAGACAATTCTATCTAATCGCGCTATTTCATTTTTGGCTCTTAGGCGCTCCCGCTCTTCCCGCTCGCTGTTGCGGTGGATATCACGTAGGAAGCGCGTTAGGTTGCCTTGGTGTTTGCCAGTGGCTTCGTGCTGTGTGCGTTCGAAGGATGTGTCGCGGACGTAGATCTTGCAGTGCTTACACCAGTATTTCGGCTGGAGAATTGTTAGCTTTGCTAGTTTACTGGGGTGAAAGAGTTTGAGGGGAAGACATCGTTTGCCTTTGAAATAACTTACAGTGGACTTCCAGTATTCTGCCATGGTAAACTTTGATTGGGAGAGTAAGTTCTCAGTCTAGAAATTTCGAGACCTGGGACATAGCAGAAAAGAAAGTGGAGTGAACGTTACCCAGGGTCTATGACATGGAACTGCTTATATAATACGAAGCTCGAAGAGATGATTTTGTTCCGCAGATGATCGTTATACTTTCTCATGCCATTGCATTCATGTAGGTAATTTGATTTATGATTGAAACTGAGAAAGATATGAATATGATAGATTTGATCCCAATGGGAATTCTGGACAACGCTTAAAGGTGTAAGTGTTTGTAGAAAGTAAAGAGACCGATGCAGATTTGCTCTTGACTTATCCCTTACCCAAATATTCTAATGGCGCTTCGTGACTCGAAGTGTATATTAATAGATGGGAGGGAGAGGTAAAGGATATATACATTTGCGGTGAACCGCTTGTTTCGTGTATGAAAGCTCTACTATCTGAGCGATATAGATCTAGCTGAAGAGTTTCAGAAGACATGCAGGAAAGAAAGGAAGTTGGTCTGGCCGAGAAGACATATCACAAAAATCGCTTCTGTAGTGAGAAAATTCGCCTTGACCACATCAATATCGATATCTCCGTCCTATTCTCTCCGTTGACATAAATGAATGCAGATGAGCTGGGAAATATGATCTAACCTCCAGATCGCATGTTTACAGAGGAATTCCCACAAAACGAGTTTATCTAGAATACCTCGACCCGCACTTTTACCTGTCGAATATCATCCGCAAACCAGAACCCAACCTCACTCATGGAGTCAACCAGCTCCTCCTCACGGCGGACAAGTTTCTTGCCATCTTCGTATTTCATGACTGAACCAACGCCTTGTCCATGCTGCCTATCACCACCCTCATCACTGCTATCCCACTCATCGTCTTCAGGTTTCGATTCGTAGAAGGGATCCCATTCGTTCGTTTCCCAGATCAGTTTGAAACGGAGAGGAGTTAGAGAGAAATGGCGTGCCACGATTGCTTTGATGCGGTAGACATCGAAGGACTTGGGGATATCGATGCTGTACTCGGAGCCTACGACTCCCCCAGATGTCTCTCCACTGGACTTCTGGGTCTGGTTTGGTATGTAGAAGTTGAAGGTAATGAGTCGAGCTGCGAGGGAGCGTGGGTGTATTCCGTTTCCAGCGCCCTCTCCGGTGCGTTTTATTGCAACCTCTCCATGTGTATCGCAAAGTTCTCTGTATCGTGGATGTGATTGTAAAATGCGTTGCTCTGCACTTTTGGGAGATGCGGCTAACTCTTTCCTGATAAGTGACAAGTAGTATAGCTCTCCGTTATTGCGATCTTGAGATGTGATTTTGCTGTAGTTGAGGGTCTCAAGCTGAGAGAGATGCGCAAGTGTAAGCATATATGCTTCATCTACTGTCATCGGTTGTTCTGGTAGATTTGTGATACGTGAAGACGCGGGTGGTTGATCGTATAATGGGTTATCCGAGACTCGAAGACTGGTGAGCCCAGGAAAGACTTTAGGAAGTAGATTGATAAAGGTCCACGAGTTTATCTTGTTAAATGAAATATCAAGGGAAGTAAGCGTTGGAGAAAACACCACGTCATCCCCACCCATTGGTATTGCAGGGCATTCAGGACCAACTTTGTCGATATTGTTTCCACGAAGGGATAACTTCTTTAGCCTAGGGAGGGAAGTCAACTGTCGAAGGGAGTAAATGGAATCGAATCGATTATATTCTAGTGTAAGCTCTTTGATAGTTTCCGATAGTGGGCACGAAATCGATGTAAATTCATTGCCAGATAGCGACAAAGAGCTTAAAAGAGGGAAGCGATTCGAGACGGCTGCGGCCTGAACGAGATAGTTAAGTAAACGGCTAGGTTTAAGTTTCTTCAGGTCTTACCTCTTTCCATTCCATAAAAGTTTCGTCCAGTGCCAATTCAGATGCATTGCCAAATGTGACACCATCATCGATTTCATCAATCCGATTTCCGCTGCCAGATACATTAGCAAACGATCTTCCCTGTGAGAACTTTAGGCTTTTCAATATTCTCACTTTAGTTTTAGGATTCTTAGATGTTTGAGCTGGTTGCATATATCTGCAATGTCTGTCCATTTTTGAAGAAGATTTCGACTGAGATCCAGTTCGACGATCTTTGGACACGTCCTTCCTATGCTTTGAAGCTCATTTTCATATGTTTCTCTTGTTCCCTCACTAGCCAGGACGCCGTGAATTCGCATGCAATCAAGGAGAACGATTCGAAGCTCCTGCAGTTGGGCAAGTTGTTTACGGATTTTCTCAAATCCGACTTCTTCGACGATTTTGCCGCTGATCTCAATGGGTTTGCACGGTGGCACGTCTACATGACCAGTGGGCATATGTTTAAGCTCTAAGACATATTTTTCGTTTGCAGCTTGTAGAAAGCTTAGAGCTTGGTCAGGCTGTCTCGTGGGACGCACAAAGGAGCCAGCCGTTGGGTGTTTGATTTTGCCTGGAACTACCCGTGAGCGCTCTATTTGTATAAAATTACAGTCTCTAGGCAGCTAAAAAGTTGAGGGGTAGATATCACAACTATAACCGCACCATACATTGGAAATACTTCACTCCTTTATGCTCTCCTGAGTGTTTGCCCCTATTCGGATCATCCCATTCAACACCAAGCCACTGCCCCTTGGTTCCTTTGACTTCGCCGATATAGCGGACTGTGCAAAGAGCACCATCAAAGGAAAGCCTGGACCCTACTGAGATACCCATAATACAGTGCCTTGTGGAATTCTAAGACAGGGTATATCAGTCAGGTAAAAAATAAGCAAGGGAAATACATGCAAACTCTCCCCCCTGTTTTATGTTTCTTAAGTTCAAGGCTGCCGGTGCCGGGCACTGGGTTAGGGCTAGAAGGTGTGGGGATGAATCACGTGGTAGTTATACTTTTAACGTCAATAATTTGCCATGAATCTTACCATCAGTATCAAAACCAAAAGCCCACAACCCCATTTATTAAAGCTCCCATCATGGATTATCAGGTATTTGGCCCAAAGGAAACTCTATTCTTAACTCAGATATCTTCTAACACTCTCTCAACAGAACCGCGCAGGCTCCAAATTTGGAGGTGGAGGTGTCGCCTCCTATTCAGCCACAAATGCCGACCGCCGCGAACGACTCCGCAAGCTCGCACTCGAAAACATCGACCTGGATAAGGATCCATACTTTTTCAAGAACCACGTCGGCAGTTTCGAGTGTCGCCTTTGTCTAACCGTACACCAAAATGACGGCTCCTACCTCGCCCACACCCAGGGTCGCAAACATCAAACCAACCTCGCGCGCCGTGCCGCTCGCGAACAAAAAGAGGGTAAGGGCCAAGATGGCTCACTTTTACCAGCTTCCATGGGCGTCCAGGTGAAGCGGAACACGGTCAAGATCGGCAGACCCGGATATAAGATTACGAAGACGAGAGACCCGTTCACGAGACAGCATGGGTTACTGTTCCAACTACAGTATCAGGAGATTACACCGGGGGTGGTGCCGCGGGTACGGTTCATGTCGGCCTTTGAGCAGAAGGTGGACAATCCGCCAGATAAGAATTTTCAGTATTTGCTTGTTGCGGCGGAACCGTATCAGACTTGCGGTTTCAAGTTGCAGGCGAGAGAACTGGATCGGAGTGAGGGAAAGTTTTGGACGTGGTTTGACGAAGATAACAAGGAGTTTTGGATACAGATTATGTTTAAGACAGAGAGAGAGGAGCGGTATTCTGGTGTACCTGGTCTTGCCCCCACTCGACGATGAGCATGTTCCAAATGCTTTCCCCCCCCTGTTTTCCTTCCGTTTTTTAAGGGCCTCGCATTTTTTTTTAAGTGCATTATAATGTATGTTTACATAACATTTCTTTCCTTCACAAAGTTCAAAGGTATATTGCGCGGAGTTTGGACGAAGGGAGTTGACTTAAAGAAATATCTGTATTAAAATGACGGGAACTGTGGACTACTGATACCTCAATATGCACATGTTTTTATTTTATATACTACTGCACCTCAAGGTTCAGTCATTTATTTGCTGTCAAAATATGAAGAATTCATTAAAGGGTCGCGAAAGGTTACGTATAGAGGATCCGGTGTATTATCTTGAAGCCGCGAATTAGTCAATAATTAAATGCCATTCACTCTATTCGTTCACTGTCCCTGCATGCGAAACGCATGATCTGTTGGACTGAGATGTAAGTAAAGTAGGCAAATAGTCTTGTTTAAAAAGCCCGTTTTGTTCGCAGAACAAATCTACTTCACACATTACATGGAAAAACCAGAAACTGTGGAAGAAGCAGCATAGAAGACCAAAAAAAAAAAAAGGGTAATGTAGTAAAAGTGAAACATACTCGTAAAGGGAATCCCGGATGCCCCTCGTCATTATCCAGTATTTCACGATTTCGGTATCTCCGAAACTTTACTGGCTTGGGGGCAAAATCAATCATAAAAGTTAAGTAAACAAAATGTAGTGGAAATGGCATAACACAAGCAGGCAAATAGGCCCTCAGTATCATTCGTTCAGGCTTAGATCAACACTGACAAATGAGAAAATACATAGTATCTAGCTTGCCTGGAATGCATTAAAAGCCTTATATGTATATCCAATAAATGGAAGGCTCATTTCAGCCTCTTGCTCATCTGGCATGGCACGAGCTTGGGCACGGAGTTGGGCCGAGTTGTCTTCCTGCGGAATCTCATCGATGGGGAAGTAGGACACATCCACATTTGAGGATAGCTTTGGTTCAAAGGGCGCGCGGATTTTGCGTAGCTGGTCCCAGACAACCCCGCGGAAGAACGGATGACCTTTGATTTGTGTGGCCCCGAATTGAGCACCGCCTTCTCTGCCAATGCGGTGTTCTGGGTCACAAAGGAAACTGGGAAATAATGTCAGCTGTATCCAACCAAGGAAATTGGAATGCAAATTACATACCTTCTTATAAGGTGTTCTGAATCATGCGATAGAGTAAGCTCTTCAGGGAAGTAGAGACACTCGCGCCAATTCACGATTTTCCGGTACGTATCAGTGGGCTCCTCTGCGCAGAATGGGGGCCACCCTACGAGACATTCGAACATAATAGCTCCGACAGACCACCAGTCGCACAGATAGGTGTATCCCTGGCCGTTGAATATTTCGGGTGCAATGTAGTCCGGAGTTCCGACGGTCGAATAAGCCATAGCTCTCCGGGATTTTCTCCAGGTATTGATCTGCCCACGATTCGATACAGTCAAGTTGATGGCATCTGAGAAAAAGCCAGAATTTCTGTTCTTATCTTTGGATGCTGACGTGTTTTTTAGAAGAGCCTGGTAATAAGAGTTGTCATGTTGCTTTTTCCCGCCAGTGGATAAGCCAAAATCTGTGAGCTTGATGTGACCACCGCGGTCTAGGAGGATGTTGTCAGGTTTTATGTCCCTGTAAACATAAATCAGCATATGCTCTTTCGGTTGGAGAAGAGCTGTGGTCCTGAACCATCGGAAATTTTAGGGGATGGCTTACCGATGGAGGAACCCGAGTTTATGAACCGCTTCAATAGCCATCACTATTTCTGCCATATAGAATCTTGTTATGTCCTCTGAGAAGATTTCGTACTTAATGAGCATAGTCATCAAATCACCACCTGGCAAAAACTCCATAAGTAAGTAGAGATAAGCTTTGTCTTGGAAAGATGCATGTAATTTCACAAGCCATGGACTATCCTTCGAATCGGCAAGGATATCACGTTCAGCCCGGACATGAGCAAGTTGGTCCTTCTTGAACATCTCAGTTTTGACCAAAGATTTCAGGGCATATATCTTGCCGTCAGTCTTTCGCTGAACAAGCTTGACCTCCCCAAAGGCACCCTTGCCAATGATTTTCAGAGTTTGGAAATTGGCTGGGGTCTCTTTTGTTCTAATGAAGCGAAGGAAGTTTGCCTCTTTTTTGGCGACGGACTGGGCCTCCTGGCGCTTGGTTGCCTCTGGAAGGGATGGGTTTGTCAGAACCTTGTCGAGATTCACAGCACTGCGAAAACAAGTATTTTATATGAGCCACAGATTCACTAGACCCATTGTGGGCAGAAAATGTGAATTTTTTCATTCAAACTTACCGAAGATTACGGTCACGGGCACGCTCAATGTTCTCGCGGAAGAAAACATTGACCAGCTCCTTCGCAGCTCTGCCACGTTTATGCACATTCTCCGAGTATATCTCCACACATCTCACCAATTCTTCCTCTTCCCCGTTACCGTGACCGTTGCGAGTTGGCATTTGTGGAGCAGAATGTCCTTGAGATTGGGGTGTTGGTTGAGCACCAGCAGTACGGGGGCGCTGTCCTTGACCAGGATTTCGACCGAACATTCCAGTCCGAGGGGAAGCCCCCAAGTCCTGGTTGGAAAATTGCTGGATCAGACCATTGGTTGCGTCGTTGGTCTGGTACCCAGGACGAGCGTGGTAGGCTATCTGTGGTGACGCTGCGTTTGGATGACCATACTGCTGAGCATGCGGATGGCCCTGAGCCTGGGGATGCTGAGGAACATACGGATTGTTCATGAAGTAACCCTGACCGAAGGCATGCGGGTTGTGGGAATCAACATACTCCTGGGCCCCTTGGTACATCGGCTGGGGGAAGGTTGAAGGGGTAGTTGGATAAGCCCTATTGTTTGAGGCGGTGTAGGGGCGGTCATTGTTGAACCCGAAGTTCAAGTGAAGACGGTTGCCATTGCGGTTGCCATTGTTGTTATTGTTATTATGGTTATTTGGCTCCATCTTGATTGGAGACCCAAGAGCTATTGTTCAGAAGGTAAACATAAAAAGGAATTTGTTGCGTTGTCAGCTTGGAACCCATGGAGGGGTGATGTTTTAAGGGGTTCGTTGTCGGACGAACAAATCGTTGGTAAGGCTAAACCTTGATAGGATGCGTGCTAATTTGCCAGCCAAACCCCGTCCCCAAAATCAGTCAATCAATGGGATTATTGAGAGCTGATAAAAATGAAAAGCAAACAGAAAAAGAAAAAGGAGCGACGAGAGATCAATCGATGTGGAGATGAGAAGATGAAACTCGTCGAGACGCGGATTGCCGCCGTTTGCCCCGTTTAAGAAGTTAGCACGTCCAATGTGATCCTTTGGCGCCTAAACCCTCGTGTTATGTCAGTTACCCGCTCACGGTAACGGCTCTTATTTGATAAATAGACGAGGTCACGGGGAACGCTAGCTACTTCCCGGATTAATATACTTCCGGTAACAGCAGCGCAAGCTCCAAGCTCGACCTTTTTCTTAATATGGAAGAAACGGGAGCAACGACAACATCTGGGTATGTCACAGCGCATGGCGTTGACGTTGAGTCCGCCGCCAATTCATCCCATTGGGCTTATTATTTATACAAACTACCTGCGGTAAATTTGGCGCTTTCTTTTGGGGCGTTATGGCGGACAAACCCCCATCCTCGACGTCTTCTGCGGCGCCGCAAAATGTCGCCCCGAAACCTCAGAATCCCGCTTTTCGCATGCTTGGTATGGAAACACTCTCCAAACTGCATTTTCATGCAACGCTAAGATGACCGAAAATAGGCATCCCGAAGATCCGATCCATATTGCCTTCAAGGAATTGGCTCCTATTTCTATTCATCACTGGTTCATTTACCACAGCGCTTATCTACGACCGTCGACAGAAAAGAAAAGCACAAGAAAAATGGTCCAATTTGGTTGCTCATATTGCCAAGCAGCCTTTACCGCCGAATGAAACCCGAAGAAAGCTTACAGTATTCCTTGCCGCACCACCGGGCGATGGTCTGATGAGTGCCCGGGAATATTTTAAAGAATACATAAAGCCCATTATCGTTGCCGGCGCCTTGGACTATGAAGTGGTGGAAGGTCGAAAAGAAGGAGATATCCGAGCCACTTTTGCCAACAGAATTAGGAAAGCAAGACGACGAGCAGGAGAAGGTCAACCCATCGAGGAAGATGAGGCTGAGAACTTCCTTCAGCAGATTCGGCAAAATTTCGGTATTGAGGACGAACCTGGAATCCAAGGCGATATGGTAATTGGCAGACATACATGGAAGGAATATATCCGTGGCCTTCACGAAGGGTGGTTAGGACCGATTGACGAGCCCCATCCTGAACCAGAAACTATACCCGTTCCAGAAGTAGCAGCTGCGGAGGTCGCAACCCAGCAGCTGGCAGGCGACTATGGTTCTCCTGCAGCTGTATCAGCGCCACAGGAGAATAAAGAAGCCGAATCCGCGCCAAAAAAAAGGCCAGAGGAGGAGAAAACAGACGTGAAGAAACTTTCCCGCCCCACTCCGGCTTACATCCTCCCCTCTTCTTACCCCTCTCAACGACTCGCGCCAACAACCCCACAAGAAATCGACGTATCCCCTGTCAGGTTCCCTCATATCCTAGGATTCTTCAACACTCCAATCCGCATCTACCGCTTCCTCACCCAACGATATCTTGCAGATGCCGTGGGACGAGACGTGGCCGCCATCGTCCTCGCAGCATCAACCCGGCCCTACACAGAAAATAAAAACATCCCAGACTCTGAATTCAGAATTCCTACAGATGCTAGTGATGACGCATCTCCCACATCACTATCATCATCTTCATCATTATCCCCCTCTTCTCAAACCCCATCGAACCACTACGAACAACAATCCGACCTCGAAACAGAGGAGCAGGAATGGCCTAAATCCGTGCGCAAGCAAAAAGTAGACCCAGACATCAAGGAAAGGGAATGGCTTGACGATATAGTCATGGATCCACGCATTGCATTGCGCATGCACAGATTTGACCTTCCCCCAGAAGAGGAAGAGAGAGCGCAGCGGATCGCCGAAGGCACCGACTGGATTCGTGGCGAGGAGAAGCCGGCGCACGTCCCGTTTTGGAAACGGATGTGGAATACGTATGGATTGGGTGAGCAGGATGACGGGAGGCCGAAGGTTGTTATTGGGAATTTGGATGAGTGAGAAATTGCTAGGTGGTTTGATGTAATCCGGAAACGTTATTTACTGATCATCTGTATTATCTATCCACGTACATGTTATATATATATATATATATATATATATATATATATCTAGACATATGCTCAGAGTTTTAGCGATATTTGTACAGTGTTTTCTATAGTGATGCCATATCCCTCCATAGACTGGGGTCTGTTGATTGCTAGATGGTAGTTATTGATCATTAATGAGATGACATCGATAAATGATTTATCAATATCTCTTTTTGGTCTCTTTTTGGCCCGGCTAATATGGACGCCTACATAATACAGTTTTGAATAAATGAGGTAAAAATTAGCCATTACGTGGACTGATTTCACATCGGTAGTTACATAGCTCCCGCCATTTGAATAGAAGTCCCCATCATGAGTCAATATCACGTTCTTTACAATGTTCACAACCTTGGGAACTTCTCTCGTTCCTCCTACCCTTCCAAACCACTCTTAATTCTAGAACTTAATGAAAGCTATCCATGTTGGCATGTAAGGCAGTCCCTTCAAAGGGCTTACTTATCCATTCCTCTCATTCCATCCATTTCAACACATCCATCGGCCCTGAAATAAGAGTGCTGAGAACACAAAGAAATGTTTAAAGTGAGAGGACACCAATAAATTAACTTTCCCTTTTTGCCATACACCAAGTAATCCACCGGCTCATACAAACGACAAAATGCAAAATGCAAAATGCACAAAAAAACAAAACAAAACAAAACAAAAAAAAAAAAAAAAAAAAAAAAAAAAGGTGTAGAGGCGAAGGGGAGTTCCTAAAAATCGTGGCATAGGAAAAATAATGCAACTAGGAAGGGCGGCAAAACAATAGAAATAGAAATAGAAATAGTAATCTACTTTCTTATTTGAGATCATATATAAACAATGCATTTAAACTTGGTGCCAAAATGAGACGTCAAACATTCTTCGTTTCTGTCACCTTTTATTGAATTTGTGTTGGCTGAAAAGCCGATGCTTCAGTCCATCTCTTCTGAGCTTGACTAATATAGGCTGCTTTTGCTTCCTGGCTGCTGTGCCAGTCATCTAAGAGATGGAGGCCCGCAATGGCATCCTCCAAAGATGCGGTTTCAAGGTCAACAGTGGAGATAAGCTCCTTCTCGCATTGGGGTTTTGAGTCGGGTGCGAGCAACTGTCGGACCGACAGAGCAGCTTGAACATGCACAGCGCTAGATTTATGTTCGGAGAGGAATGATTCGTTCCAGTTTGTTAAATCTTGGGATTTTGGGAGCAAGGGGTCGAAATCCGCAGCGATGACCTCGGATACATTGGAGGGAAGGGGTTCGGAAAGAGTGTCGATTGCTTTTCGGAAACGAGCTATCTGGGTGTGAAGAGCGGGATTTTCAGAGTCGATAGAGTGGGAGGCAAGAAGACATTTTAGGGCAAGAAGATATTTATCTGTGTTGTTGAAGTTAGCATCGATAGGAGACTGTTGAACAGAAGGTTGAAAATAAGGAGCCATAGGTACTGACTACGCCTGATGAAGACTTCAAAGCCAGTTGTCTGCACATCCATATTGCCATGGGAAAATTCCAATAGGGGAGATAAAAATTTCATGGCATTCTTTAATGGCTCAGAGGATTGAACCAGCTTTGTTCCCAAGGGGTCGGAGTCCTCCTTTCCAGTTTCCCCGTCGCCTCCCTTAGTGCTGCTGGCCTTTTTAAGATCCCGTTTTGCTGCTTCCGCCTTCTCAAGCCTCAGTTGCTCTCGTTTGGCTTTCTTGAGAGCTTTCTTTCGCTCTGCACTGTCTGCCTCTCCCTCCGCGGTGCCATTCACTCTGCTGGGGATTGGACCGTGGACCAGATCCGGCTGATCATGTATTAATATGTACGTCTTGACGGCGGCGAGAGCGCTTCTGGTGTAATATGGGTGATTGCGCAAGTGGTTTTCCCATCGGATCATATCGATATACGCTCGAATCATTCCCTTCCGTAGAGAGAAACTATGGAAATCGAATTGGTCCTCATACCAGACATCGAATATATTGTTCACCGCATGGAATCGTTTCAGAGCAAGTCCAAGTTTCCTTTGACGAAGGTAGGATTCTCCGTCTTCGGTTAGATACCATACACATTGCATCTCATGGAGGTCACCAAGGGGTCCGCCAACGGTTTCGTTGCGTGTAAATTTACTCATATTGTCAAGGGCTTTTTCGTTTTCATCATTTCTGAGCTGATACTTTGCTGTTTTGGAGTTAATATACCGATCCTTCTCATCTAACGACCTTGCCTTTTCCATGACTTCGGCCGCTTTCGGAATGTTGCCGTAGTGTTTCCATATTCTGGCCTTTGTCATATGATAATCCACAGAATTTGGAGATAGCGCGATTGCTTTATCTATATACTCCGTCGCCTTTTCAAGATTCCGGCTAAGATGATAATTGTAATGTTGGGCAAGAAAGTAGTAAACTGAACTCTCGAATATGGATGAATTACCGTTCATTTGTTTCTCTGATGAACCATTGGCTTGTGATCCGAGATGCCCTCGGGCATATCCCTCAGCGAGTTCCTGGACAGTGTCCCGTTTAGCTGTGTTTGTGTATAAGAACTTAATATTCGCAAAAGTAGAAGGGACCCCCCTGCGGAGCATCCGTTGAAGATAGCTGTCTGCCGCCTCCCTGAAATCCTGGCCTTCCAAAATATCTAGCGGAATTCGGCGAGCTGCATCTCCCCTCGGGTATTTCTTGACCCATTCATCGAATAGGGCTTTTAGAGTTTCACGGTCACTCTCGACAATCCCTTTTGCTTTAATCAATGCATCGTAATAATTTGAGTTTTCCGGGTTTCTTTCCAGAAGAGCCTCATAAGCAGCCGCTGCCTCATCTTTCCGACCAAGACGCAGCAAATAGTCCGCTCTCATCTCCATCACAGCAAGAACATCAAAACAGCTTTTTCCCACTGCATCAAGATGTGCCAGTGCCTTCTCCAGATTGCCTGACTCTGCAATTATCGAGTTTTTGTAAAGAACCGCCTCTGAATGCTCCATATCAGATCTTGGAGGCGGGGTTTTAAGTGTCTGCTCGTAAGTCGTCAGAACATTCTCAGCCTCTGCCAAATTGCCTGCAAGATGATGAGCAATGGCCAGTGCTGTCCAATTTTGACGGAAACCAGGCTTTTGTTGTAACATCGTAGTTCTGCTCTGAATATAACCTTGGTAATCGCGCATTTGTGCTTGGAGAAGAGCTAAATCCCGCTGTATTGCTTGCGACGTCGAATCATACTTCAGGGCGGTTTTATAGGCTTTGATGGCTTCGTCATAGTTTTTGTCTGCGCGATATAATAAACCGTAGACATGCCAACATATGTGGGATCTTAAGTGATTCGCAATCGCCACCTTTGCCAGTGCAAACGCTTCCTCTTGGTGTCCCTGATTACTGAGTATCAACGCTTTCATAGCCTGTGTCTCTCCGTGCTTAGGGTTTTTTCTGAGCACATGGTCGGCAATCTTTAAACCTATTCCCAAGATAAATCAGCGAGCTACGCGGAGACAAAAACTGGTCACGAGGAGTTAGCAATGCACCTTTTTTGTACTGTTTGCTCTCACAGTGCCGAACTACTTGATGGAACAGCGACTGATCCTTGGGATTCAGCGAGGGGGGTTCATTCATGACCATAGCTTCAGCGGGACAGCTTCAAACCGTCCACACAGCGACGCGGGAACAGAGTAAGTTATCGACGGCGCGAAAAGCGTATCCGGAGGGAGCGGTGATAATGAGTGTCAAAGATATTCAATTGGTATGAATACCGGCTACAAGAAGAGGAGAGTCGGCGCTGGAGGTGGAGGTAAACAGTATCGTGAACTCCGAAGCTCGTATACGTTCTTGGAAAATGCTTTCTGGCTCAATGGTGTGGTGATGCTTGAAAAACATTTATCCTTACAGCAACCACAAGTCATGTGAGCAATAAACCTTCACCTTGGAAAGTTAATTTTGCCGAGCGTGAATAAGTCTCAATTTCTTTTGGAACTTCATCTCTCTCTCTCTCTCTCTCTCTCTCTCTCTCTTTTTTATTTATTATTTATTATTGTTTTGAATAGCTAACTATCGCACGGCTATCTTATCGATTTCGTAGTTTGTGAGTTTTGAATTTCGTTATTCCGAATTACCCTCACAGTGTCTGCCGACTGATCAATTACTGGGGCTGTCAATCAGCCCTGCAACTCGGCGTTCCTATTTCGCCTTGGCTCAGCTGTCAAAAAGGCTGGTGTCCGGCTCTATATATTACACTTGTCTCAACTTCATAGTTGCTCGAGAACCCATTGAATTCTGAGAGCTACTCTGCGGTATTTCCCTAGTTTTAAGATATGGCCAAGAGGTGGAAATCCTCGTGGCTCGTCACTGTCAGCCTATTGGTAAATCATCTCATGCTCCCAGTGATTCTCTGATGTGACTGGCTGTGGTGATACTTCATCGATATTGGGTTTGCTCTCAGATAAAAGGACTCGTTTTGATCGATAACATTCCCCGAGGCTCTCGATATTCTTAACACATGAGCCCTTCACTCTCATCAACCTCCAGTTGACTCCAGGCCCCTTCACTCCCTTCATATCTAGCTAACCAAAACGGTCTCTCTTTGAGGCGAAATATCTGTCCAGTCGGGTACAAAATCACATGGAAGAGAAACTGGAAAGGTGGGTTGGGTTTGGATATTGTACGAGTCTTCATTCTCTAATCAATGCTTCTAGATAGCTGCCCGCCTGATATAAGAGCTCCCTTATCCAGTCGTCGAAATAGCAGTATTGATTTTTCACCATATGCTGTCGTTGAGAGCAAGAATCTGAAGGCAAGCGAGGTTCTCAAGTGAGTGATGGATTGCGCAGTGAACCTCAAAAATATACTAGTAATGAAAATAGCTGAAAAGTGTATCACAAGGAATTCAGTGTTAAGACCGTGCTGAGGAAACATTGACCCATGTGATGACTGAATGGCAAGCTTGATGGAATGCAAAGTTTGCTAACTAACGAGGAACGAGAACGACTAGATATATATACGATGGAAGACAAGTCACGTGATGAAGGGGGTCCGACAGAGTGAGCCAATGTATATTCATGATTGGATCTCTTCTTTTGTTTTTTTTATACATAAATTTTGCGAGACATTGGTTGCAAATCTGGAGAATCGTTGAAGCCAACTTTCCATGAGTCTTCTTGTAACTGATGTTCAGTTTCAATGTAGTTACATGAATTGCGCTTCATTTTCATGTTCTGATATTGTTTCGAGGCAATGCTCTACTGGCTTAGAACAGATCTTCAACAACAGAGGGAAGATCATATTCAAGATGTTTGTAATTATTCTTCTAAACAACCATAACCTTGACATAAAGATTGCAGAGAGTTGATGCTAACTAGACTTGCTCTAATAATACCTAATTGGGTGATCGATCTCATCTCAACCGTATTCCGGGGCTCCCTCCACGTTCAACCCAAAGATTCGACTTCGGATCAATCAACTTCGATGATTGATAAATTTACTTGGAATAACTACTTGGATACTAGCCAGTTCAAGCTAATAATGGAATAATACACATGGAACATGTCCTACGTTTATCGTTTCTAAGACCGCAGATAGCTAGCGGTTTAGGTTTAGCTGAACGTTGATTTCAAAGTAGCTTAAACTTGTTATAACGACGCTGCCTAATTTGGGCCCACCTTTTTTTAAACACAATAATGATACAAACCAACATAGCCAACCCTCTAGGCTGCTATACCTCACCCGCTTTATAATTCCTTTTTGTGTGGACAGCTGTCGCTCTCTGTGTGGATTTTGTAAAGGTTCTCGAATGGCGTAGGGTCGTTATCACCTGCAGGCTTCTTCGTTCATTAACAGACTTTATGATAGTTGATTAATTGAGAATTTTGAATCGAAGACAGACAGGTTTACACGTGCAATTTCCCTGAACAACTTAAAAAATACTATAGCTAACTATTAAGATAGTTACCAAGATATGAACCCGGCGCGGGGAGGCTCTTAACATTCCGAAACTGTTAAACTTGCTCGCCCACCATGGTTGCAGAATACCTTACCATCCGAAACCTAACGTCGACACCAGTTGTATTGAAGCAAATTGAGCGCTTCTCTCCTCAGAAAGTCCAAAAGTACGATATAAAAGGGGTAGCAAAGGTTTTGAAGAAAAATGTGACCAGATCTGAACCAGCCGTTGATTGTACATCCCAAAGCACGGAGTATTTCGACCGACAGGACGTCTCCATTTGTATAGAGCCGTTTGAATCGGTGGAAACAGGCATTCATGCTTTTGACAAGTCAGATAAGGAACGACTGCGACTAATATTCGATGTAGAAGGTGAGAAGCACCAGATTCAAACCTCTGAACCCAGCAAGGACTATGAAACATCGAAGCCATTGGCCGATAACCCCCGTTTCCAATTCACTGGCATTTATGTTAGGCCCGAATCTCATCTCGCCATATATTCCTCCGCAAACCCCAATGCATGGATGCGTGAGCTGAAAGACGAAACATACATCTCTGCCCTTTCTATCCCCGGAACTCACAATTCACCGGCATGTCACCTAGCCGCACCCTCGGTTCGCTGCCAGGCTGTCAGCCCACGAAAGCAATTGGAAAACGGCGTCCGGTTTTTCGATGTCAGAGTACAACCGCAATTTCCCGATGATCCGGACAAGGATAACCTGATACTTGTCCACGGAACATTCCCCATCTCACTTGTAGGACATAAATACTTCCGCGATCTCACAACAGAGATTGAATCATTCCTCGATCACAATCCTTCTGAAACTCTCATCATGTCTCTCAAGCGCGAAGGGCCTGGAAGCCATACTGATGCTCAACTTAGCCGAATTCTCCGTGACCACTACGCTCGAGACGGAAGCCTGTGGTACACGGAGCCTAGAATCCCCAGGTTAGGGGAAGTGCGAGGTAAAATCGTGCTGATCCGGCGCTTTGAACTTGAGGAGCGATTGACGAAAGAATGGGATGGACGGGGCTGGGGCATCAATGGCGAAGGCTGGGCGGACAATACGCCATTCGCGACCTGTCCCAGTGGAGACATCTGCGTCCAAGACTTCTACGCAGTACTTGAGAAAGAAAAAATTCAGCAGAAAATTGACTATATTAATGCTCATTTGAAGAGGACGGCTGAACTGTGTTATCCATTTGGGGTCATTGGGAAAGACGGAGCGAATGATGGCGATGAGAATGGGAAGTTTCCCCTTTATATAAACTTCCTTAGTGCGAGCAATTTTTGGAAAATACAGACTTGGCCGGAGAAGATTGCTGCGAGCATCAATCCTGCCACGGTGGATTACCTGTGCCGAAGACATCGTGGGGAGAAGGGGGATTGGTCTACCGGTATTTTGGTGTGTGATTGGGTTGGATTGGATAGGGATTGGGATCTGGTCAGGTGTGTTGTCGGAATGAACACGAGGCTTATGATGAGGCAAAGATAAGTAGGACCAGCGAAAAAGAACTTGGAAATCTTCACCCGTAGGTCTTATCCTTATCCCCATGCCCTGTCAGTGCACATCTGCTAAGCTTTGGAATAGGTGCCCGCTCATTGGTCGATGATATGATGCCAATATTGGATAATATATATGATGCATATTGTACAGTCGATAAAGGAAACAAAAATTAGCATGTATCAAAGCCAATGGTAGAAAAAACTAGAACCTTAACCAATAGAATGGAAATATAAGGAGAGCAGAAATGGAAGGACAGGTATTCATCATCTATTCCTTCGGAGCGTCTGTCTTGGTTTCACTGTCTTTCTTAGCGTCACTCTCGGGGCCCTTCTGCTCCCCTTCTAAAACGCTTCTCCGACTCTCAAGGGTGAGATATAGACTCGTACTCGCAGCATCTAAAGTTGTAGTAATGCTTGCTCCTGCCCCTTGCAAGAGCGATAAGAGCTGAGAACGCAAGCCAGCCATGCCACCCTCAATTCCTCCAACCCATCTCATCTGATCCTGATCAAACACCCTCCCTTCCACTCTCGCTGCCAACAGGATCAATTTCTTCAATCCCGTTTGTACAGGTGAATCGTATAGACTCGGGTTCGCTCTACGCGTTGGTGCAGGGAATTGTGGTGGTTTGGGTGATAGGATTGTCAAGGCCGCCTTCAAGTGCTCAGGTGAAACCTGGGGGAAACTAAGCACGGCAATTGGGCCCACCAATATGGTAGAGAGATCATGTTTGCCCTTCTTGTCAAGAACGGCGGCGTAGGCAGTGCGGGAGAGATCGTGGGTAAACCTGGGGTCAGCCTTCGCAGCTGCAATCTTGCCTCGGCCACTAGGAACCGTTTCACCGGGCCGGAAGAAGTCCACAACACGCAAAGCAGCTTCGAAAATGTTAGTTTGAATAATTTTTAGCTGCATAAGGGGAGCTATGGGCGGTTCTGGTCTCCCCGCAGCGGCGTGTGCTTCGTCGACTTTTTGCAGTGCTTTAGAAAGTTCGCGGCGGATCCCAGCCCATTCTACTGCCTTCAGGTTGTTATGCTGGAAGATCAGGACTAACGGAGTTGTGCGGAGGAGTGAGGTGTATTGGCGGTGGAGCTGTGATTTGCGGAACTCAGGGCGACGGTGTGATGGGGGTTGCAATGAGGGGTAGGTAGCAGCAGCAGGAGCAGGAGGAGGTTGTGAGGAAGCGAATTTCGATTGGGATACTTGGTCTATTGAGGATGTTGTCGCTACTGTTGCCGCAGAACCAGCATGCCGCCGCGAATAGGCGAGGACTTCATGTCGCAAGGCTGGTGGTAGGAGACAAACGGAGAGGCGCAATCGTGGAGGCATTGGAAAGTGAAAGTGACAATCAAAGAATCGGATGAAGTAAAACACGGTATATCATCCACTGACGGCTCAATTGCCATGAATTGCGAAGTTGGAGCCCGACAAATATACGTCAATGTCGTCTCATTGTCTGTTGGAGAATAATTTTTTTGGTTTCTGAAGGTATTTTGTCATTATCCGAAGGCGGTAAGAGTTCTGCCAAATTTTTTTGCACCATATGACTGTTTGTCCAACGATGGAGGGGCTTCTCTAATAAACAGTGCAGCTGTCATTCCGTTTATCTATCGGAAGTTATTTAGTTATGAGATTATCTTTGATTCCCGGTTGAAAAATTTCCGTCTATAGCTGGGAACCAGCATATCCGCAAAATATGACTCACTCCGACCTGGTGATTTCAATAACACCACTCCTTACACGGCTTGCTTACCCAGATACAGGCGGAACTGGGGTTTCTGCAGGAGAAATCGCGGGTGCTTTCTCTCTTATATTCGAGGATAGACTATCTCTCATACAGACAGCGGCTCTCCTAACACTGCTACACTCCACAGGCAAGGACAGGGACCCCGATGTGCTTGCGCAATGCGCAATGCGTATGAGAGAAGCTGCTGAGCCAATTGAGCAGACAGCACTACGCGCATTGGTTAAGGGACGAGCTAGAAATGAGGGCTCTTACAGAGGAGGTTTTGTAAGTGGAGAAATATCGTCATTCGTAACAATATATATATATATTAGTAAAACTAAATACTAATATACTGCGACAGTGTGACATTGTTGGAACAGGAGGGGATTCGCATCGCACATTCAATATCTCTACAACATCTTCCATCATCGTGTCGCCGCTGCTAATAGTAGCGAAGCATGGAAATCGGGCACAAACGTCATTTTCAGGTTCCGCAGACGTCTTGACTTCCATAGCTCCGACTCCACCAAACATATCCAATGTCCGACCCGATAACATCCTGAAAGTATATGAACAGGGGAACTACTGTTTCCTCTTCGCGCCAAACTTCCACACAGGCATGAGGTTTGCCACTCCGGTTCGAAAAGGGTTGGGTATACGGACAATATTCAATCTCCTCGGGCCCCTAGCAAACCCAATCGAATGGGGTGTTGAAGCTCGCGTGGTTGGTGTCGCATACCAGTCGCTGGGTCCCATATTCGCAAACGTTCTGAGGCTCGGCGGAGCTAAGAAGGCGATGGTTATATGCGGAGAAGAAGATTTGGATGAAATCAGTTGTGCTGGAAAGACCAACTGCTGGAGACTGTCCGAGCATCCCAACCCTGATTATAATGAGGAGGACAGTGAGACAAGCGATGAGGAAGCGCCACCCCGAAAAGTGATAAAGATAGAATCTTTCCAGCTTCAACCCTCCGATTTCGGACTTTCAGTGCACCCTCTTTCAGAGGTTGGTGGGGGTAAAATGCCTGCCGAAAATGCAATGCTTTTGATGAAGATGCTCCGAAACGAGCTTCCTCGCGATCATCCGATATTGGAATTTGTTCTCATGAACGCTGCAGCTATGTTGGTCATATCTGGCATCTGTGATGCTGATACAAGCAATATGGGACCAGGCGATGACGGGGAAGTGATTAAAGAGGTTGGTCCAGGCGGCGGACGCTGGAAGGAAGGCATTCGAAGAGCACGATGGGCAATCGAGAGCGGGGAAGCACTTAAAAGCTTGGAAAAGTTTATTCAAGTAACCAACTCTTCGTAACCATAGTAATTGGAAATTGGAAATTAAGTAAGAAACGAATGTAATTATCGGGAATTCGAAGAGGATGGAATTAATGAGGCATTAAAACCGACGAATATCATACCCTGATAGAACTTCAACCGCCAACGCAACGTGAAACAAATTTTCAAGATAGGTCTTCGCCTGTTCGCTCTCCTCTCATTCCCAACGCTGTCACCGGATTCTCGATTAGATCATGAAATAATGTATACACCCCTCTCTAGCGCCATGCAGAAGCTGCCAAAAAGCAGAAAACAGCTAACAAAACAAGTAACACCAAATAAAAAGCACTTCCTTCCCATCATAAAGAGACCTCCGAGATCGACGGTAGTAACCATATAAGATCGTCGAAAGGTTGTCATCGGGCCTGAAATTGTACCATTCTGTAAACGAGTAAAATGGCAACCGTTAGCTGCCTTCATATTCCTAGACATAGACCGCACTGGGAGTACTTGAAGGAACACAGAATTTTCCCTTTATCTTTATCTTTTTTTTTTTTTTTTTAGGGGTTTTGGGTGGGGGGGGGGGGGGGGGGGGGGGGCCCGGGGAACCAAACGAACCTCTTCGTCCTTTCTTTGTACAGCACACGATGTCCACATTCCTTGCAGCGGATCTGATCTCCTCGCTTCATGGAAACGCGCGAGTTGCAGTCACCGCAGACATAGACGACAGATATGGCATCGCCTGCGGTTCCTTCGACGACGCCTGATACGCCGGCGTATCCTGTCTGGGCCGTAGGGACTTGATAGGCTTCGCGAGACATGGTTGGATGTGAAGAGGGGCGATGTGAGTGTATGGGTTGCGAAGGTTGAGACTGCTATGTTGTTACGTTGTTACGTTGTAACGTTGTATAAAAGTAGTTTCTAGAGCAAAAGTTCAGTGCTCGGAGATAAATAACTGGAAGAAAGGTCACATGATTTGGTTTGGGCTGATCGGCGGCAAACGTCACCCAAGGCAATTAATATATGACAACACCCACAACCACAAGAAGAGGCTCCTGTTATACCGCCCGGTGTCCAAGGTTGCTTATGCTAATCAGTTTTGCTCGCTTACTGTCATTGGAGCTGTTGGTATGGGAGCAATCTATAGCCAAGAATGGCCGGTTGATTCTTCCCGCTGTTGGGTGCAACGGCACTCAGATCACTGCAGCGCTGCTCAACTTCAACTCTTTGCAAGGACATGAACGAATGCAAGCTTTACACCAGCTGGGATCTTGCTATGATCAGTGGGCTGCAGTGGGCTATGATGCGTTTGTCCTTGTCTTCAAACTTGCTTCTTGAGGCTGCGTCCTCTGAGCCCCTTTCCAGGGCATTTCTCCTTCCTCAGGGCATTTGGAATTGGCAAATCGAATGAGCCTGCCACGGCACGCCAGACTTGGCTACTCTCTTTCCTTGAGATTTTTGCGTCGTGTTTGTTATTGTGGCGTATTTATCTGTCCGCAACTTTCTTTGAAGTTTTATATCTTTATATACATTGTTGAGATAACACGCCGTGCTGCTCAACCAGAGACGTCTAGTCCAAACTTACTATCTCAATATTATTCCGTGTTTATTGAATATCAGTCCCCTCCTTTATTCCGGTTTAATTTTTCTGTGTACGTGCGGGCAATCCACTACAAGTTTGAATCAATATTTTCTGTTCAGTTCCATTTACCACAAAGCACTCTCTTATTCCCAAAGGGAACCCATTATCCATAATGTCTTCTCGGATACCTGTCTTTCCCTCAGCGACAGATGCCCATCGGCCCGTTGATCGTGACCGAAAAGATTCGCACGATGGACCGCTACATTGGCGTAGGCCGGCAGGACGTTATAATCATCCGCAACGGTATCATCGGCAGCACAACTTTCGAAGGTTCCCAAGGCCTTCCGAACGGAAGTACAAAGCTCTCTATCCAGCAAGTCACTTACCCTACTGGGATTATTTAAACGGAGGGAGGCGTGGATTTCCCCGTTATCCCAGTTCTGCTGGTAGTGGTGACCAAGGTAACTTTGCGTCCTGCGAGCCATACCCTCCTCACGAGGGACTTCTAGTCCAACCTACCACAATACCACAAATGATTACGCCAAACACCAGAGAAAAAGCCTTCTCTGAAATTGTTAATGGTACTTTCGATTTTGAGAAGTCTCCTTTTTCGCTAGGGAAGACGTTGGCTTCGTCTACCACAATTTCTGACGAATCTCGGTTGCTTAACGGTCTGCCTAATCCCTTTGGCTTAGACACGACCAGTAGTAAAAGCGGATCGTCATATTCAATGGCTGACCGATCCAAGAAGCAAGCTGCGCCTTCTGAGAATTTACAGCAAGGAAATAGTGTTAACAATGCCCGCATTATGACAACTGCTGGACAATATGCTGCAATTGAGAACCCTTACAACTTGCTGCAAGATCAAAGCCAAACTGATTCATATACCGTTGGGTTCGGTTCAGCTCCAAACGCAAATTCGACTGAGATGGAGGAGTTTCACCAATTGCTGCAAATGATTGAATTGCACACCCAGCAGTCGCAGGATTTGGCAGATTTAGTCTCGACTTACCTTTCCCGAGGTGGAAATTACGGAGATATTAGGTCAGTAGCTGGCGTTATTCATAAATTCTACAACAAGCCACCCCGCCGCTTGAATCAGAATCCAGAAGGTATACTTCAAGTTGCATCCCTTCCAGGTGGTGGCGACAGCCCCGACCCACCTCGTGACCACCGAATTCCATTCCGGGGACATATGATAGACCGTGTGGATACAGGTCAGCCAGCAGTTAATAAGGACGAGAACAAGAATGGCGAGGACGACACCACGACAGCATGTGAGAACCTTGGCCAGCATTGGGGATCTGCTTTGTATGGTGACAGTGAAGGTTAGTTAGCATGCAAATGACGCCTTGCAAAGAGAGATTTACTGACGCTTGATGGCAATGATTAGCTCCAAACGGCATCAATACACAGGGTGATTCGGCCACGACGAACCGCGGAACTACTAACAGTGCCTACTTTACCATGCCAGTATATGGACTTCCAGAGGACCCGGCTTTGAGCACTGCCGAATTTGGAGGCCTATACCCTACCTCACTTCCAACGGAGACTTCAAACAAAGCAGCTTCTAAAAAACGATCAAGGCAAGATACGGACGATCGGTATCAAAATAAGACAGATTGTTCCGTTGACTGTAGCCATCATCATATCGACGCATCCAAGAGCTCCACAAAGTACCAGTGTCATTCTCAGTGTCAGGGTGAGCGGTCAAAGCGGCCTAAGCTCAATAATCTCGTAGGGCCACCAACCCGCCCATCGTGCCCATCATGTAAAGGTCCCCAATCACTAGTCTCTTCCCAATCCTCTCAAAGTGGTTATTCACACTCCACTAGACCGCTTTTTGGAGCGTCGAAATCTGCACATGTTTCTTCAGCCTCGGCCAACCCCGGATATCCATCATTTTATAAGAAGGGTCAGAAATTAAGCTCAGTGGCTCCAAAATATACCCATCACACCTGCAGTTGTCGACCTCGTTGTTTGTGTAGGCCCGTTTGTCGCTGCGGACAGGATGCAAGCGTCCTTAAGAATGGAGACAATACTGCCAATTCGCTACAACCACAGCTCAGGTCATTTTATGAGAAGGGTCAGAAATTAAGCTCAGAGGCACCAAAATATACCCATCACACCTGCAGTTGCCGACCTCGTTGTTTGTGTAGACCTGTTTGTCGCTGCGGACAGGATGGAAGTGTCCTTATGGATGGAGACAATACCGCCAATTCGCCGCAGCCATAGCTTAGGGACCGACTTTCGAGGATATATACGCAGTTGACAAAAATACTTCCATTCTTCTCTGGACCCAAGTGACAAATCATGCTTTTCGTCGTGATGTACCTAACTTTCACGATTCTTGCAATGCGGTGGATGCGATTCGATTCCAACCCGAGGGTAAACAACACTGGTGGCAAGACTCTCGATTTTCATTCACAGATTGATTTCTCAAGAGTTCTATTTTAACTCTCGGTCTTTTTACATTACCAACGTTCATTTTGGATAGAGTGACACTTCGGGTTGTTTTGGTGGGTTTTGTGCTTCCATTTTTTGCACTGGTTCTGTTTCATTGTAAATTGAAATCCTTCCCTCGCTTTCAACGTTCATTTGGCTTCACTATTTGTAAATCCCCAACCCCTTAGGATTAATTATGCCTTTTGGTCCGCAACGACAGTCAAAATGTTGCACTTCACTCGTTCATTTTGATGCAATAGAAATATCAAATTGAAGTTCTATTATTCATCGGTTTGAATCAATTCTCTAGAATCCCAATCCCGGTAATGTAAAAACCACTATAAAACCAGGAGTAGCTGAAGTTTGTCGTTTTCTTTATTATTCTTCATTTGATCCCAAGTTCAGAAACACTCACATACTTCCATTAGAAGCCTTCACAATCGCAAGCTTTATCCTCAAACCTTATGTGACTGGTTATTTTTACAGTTGTTGTGATGGAATACATATCTGATTAATAGTTCCATAAAGCAATTTAGATCTGAAGATCTCGACTCATCCCATTCAATAGGAGAGATTTACCAACTGCATAATAGTAGTAATAAATATAGATATGCCATGTTCCCTACGTATAAGCTGGTTCTTCATGACCAGAAGAAGCTGTGCCAAGCTTAAATGCCATAAAATGAGACGAGCATTTGCCTGTTCCAGTGTATGTATGTACAAGGAAATCGTATGGATACGCGCCTACCAACCCCCACCGATCTTGCCTGCAAGTTCCGCAACACGGGCCGTGTCTCCCACCTTCGTTGCATCCTTACCCTTATCCTTGCCCACGTCGCTCTCAACTTTCCTGAATGTGGTATAAACTAGGTTCTCAAGGGGGATGTTGGTACTCTTGGACCAATGGGAAAGAATAGCATCGATATCTCTATGACCGCTATCACCGTTGAGCAGGGTGGTAGTATAATGACCCGCTACGGAGTCCGAGTCGGAATCGGAATCGGCCGAAAAATATGCTTCGTCGACCCGTGCTAGCCAGGCTCGTTGTTCGTGTGGGGTTGGCTTTGAAGTAGATTGCTGTAGCTGCGCAGAGTCGACGGGTGCTTGTGTGGACGGCTGCTCCTCTAACTTTGGTGGATTTATTTCCCGCGCATCCTCGACGCGGACTTGACCGCCCCCATTCGTGCATCCACCTGGGCAAGCCATTACTTCGATATAAGAGCAATCTGTGACTGATGCGTTGCCAGCTACAGATCCAGCCCCGGCTGCCCTTCGAGCTATTATAGGCTTGGCGCCGGGTAGCCGCGACGTTCGCGGGGGCTTTAGTTTTCGGACTAAATTTTGGATATTCCGAAAGCCATAGTAGCGGGCAGCTTTTATAATTGTGTCGCCTGAGTTGGAAGTTAGGGCGTATTCGATCACATCAGAATTTCGACCACGTTGTGTTTGGATATGGCTTCCTGGATTGCGACGTTGGTAGGTCGTGAGAATGTGGTAGAGGTAGCCGCCTGACGGACCCGCCGCCGGGGATTGGACATGTGGCAGGGATTTTGGAAAGAGGAAAGGTTCAAGGTACGTATCTGGGAATGGGGTGATGGAAGACGGAGGTAATGGTTTCATAGGGAGGTTTAAGAGGGATATATTTCGGGAAGTCGCCAGCATGAGAAGCTCGCGGGAGGTGATAACGCAGTCAACATCTCGGACAGGGGTATGAGATTCAGTCCATGATAGCCCTTGCCATGACGCATTCGTTAATTCCTGTCGGCTAGCCTCTAGCTTTTTATCAAAACATGGCATGATGGCTAAATGCCAAATATGGCACGGCGAAATGTTTAATGCTTTTCTCAATACACTTTTCAACAAAGTGCCCGTGAGAGCCTGGGGGGACTTAATGCGGGACATGTGAGGTAGGACGTGTGGGTGAGTCTTTTCGGCGTAACAAATCCATCCCGGACAAATAGATGACAGTATTGGTCGTTTTGGGACTGGAAACTCTTCCCCGCTGATTGTATTCCCCGGGATCTCCAAGGATTCTTTAACCTCAGTGACACTCAGTTCCAGGCAAACATTTCGCATCACATTTGTATCAACAACCCAAGTGAAGCCGCTGCCATGAGCGCCACCAGCTCTTAATCCCTGAGGACCACTCAGAAACTGTTCAATCAGGTATCCAGCTTTGCGTTCGGATATGCCAAAGGTTGCCGCCAAACTAGCTCTAACCTGTGGACTGACACTTGCAATAAATATCTTCCTGCCATCTGCTGAGCATTTTTGCCCCTCAGCAGAGCAAGGAACATCGGGCCTTGAACTTTCAGAGCCGCATTTCTTTTGATTGTGGATCTGAAATTCAGGACACGAGTCCAAGGTTTTGAGCACTTCGGCGTGCGACTGGAGAGATACCAAAACTGCTTCCGCTGAGGTGACGCATCCTGAACATGCCAAACAATCTGTTAAGGAAATTTGAGCAGCAGGAGGTTTTCCAGCTTGGATCTTGTCCTCTGTCGTCACCTCATATGCATTCTGTTGCCACCAAGAGAGTGTTAGTAAAAAAAAAAAAAAAGAAGGGTTTTATTGCTGCTGAAGACAAGGGAGAATAGGATTCATACCTCTTGCTTTTTACTATCTTCCTCTGGTAATGTCTCCACGGGCTTTATACAGGCAACACCAGGGGATATAAAATCATTCAAATCATCGGAGGACAGAATCGCGCTCATGGTGGAGCACTAGAGGGGCGAACTTAGATGGATGCGCAAGGCTCCAACCAGCAATATCCCACTTGATTGAACAACAACACTGCTGTATGCACCAGCCAGAAATAACACCAAGGAAACCAAGCATGATAAGTAAAATCTACACCGTACGTTTGAGAGCAAAATATTGACAACTCTTGAAGGTTTTATTTAGATCCTGCCCTTCGCTTGTCCGGAAGGCGCTTAGTAATCAGCATTGGATAACTAGTTAACTTAGTTGACTGCAATTATATTCCACCCTAAGCCCGATAAGGCCTCACCGCTGTCGATAAGCTTATTTTTCTGCCGGCAGTATTCTCGTCACATTACACCATTTTACAGCAATGGCTTGTTATTAATTTCAACCCCCCCCCCCGCCCCGCCTTAAGGGGCTGCTCCCCGCAGTGTGGCTGAGAGCATGGTCTAAATAACGGGCATGTGTCTCCTGTTCAGGGAGGAGTTATTGGAGTGCAGAATGCTGCTTGGTCTATTGAATCTTATACACTTGTCGGATCAAGTTCCAAGGAATGTCTGACCCTCCCAGAAAAAAGCTGGTGCAAACCGTGCTCAACCTCCATCCGGAGGGGGGACAGGGTCTCGGCGACTCCCGCTCCCCATATTTTGTCCGACGCCGACGCCCCCAAAATGACAATATGACAGCTAGCTCATTACAGAATGATTCTCAAGACACAATGGACGATATACAACTTACCCCAACCGTATTGCAGTCACAGGAATCATATAGCACTACAATCACAGATTCTAGCTACGAGGACGATCTGTATCGCAAACGTGCAATCCAAGCTTCTCGCAAAAGCCTCTCCAGCATAGCTGCAGAAACCACGACTTTGCTTCCCAATATTCTCGCTACAGCCCCCCACGCTCCCCCAAAAGGATACCTGTACGCACCTCCAAACCCGCCCCACCTCGGGCGGCGCTTCTGCCCGAACCTCCCTCCCACTGCAATCCGCCTTCACGATGCGGATACCTTCGACACCGCCATTGGCCTAGCAAATTGCGCAAAATACATTACCATCCAGGACAAGAAGCCTGTCTGCGTCCTGAACATGGCCAATGCATACAACGCAGGCGGCGGCTGGAAGCACGGGGCTCTAGCTCAAGAAGAAGCTCTTTGTTATAGGAGCAGTCTCAGCTTCACGTTGAAGCTGCGTTACTATCCGATTCCAGAGATGGGCGCGATATACTCACCCACTGTGGTAGTGATTCGGGAAAATATGGATAAAGGTGAACATAAACTGTTAGATTTGTCCCGGCCGGACAAGCTGCCTGTGGTTAGCGTGGTTAGCGTGGCGGCCCTCTGTTTGCCAGAAGTTGAGAATAGGGAGGTGCCAGGGCTGGGGGCTAGGGAGGTCTATAAGGATCCTGCTGATCGGGAAATTATGAAGGAGAAAATCCGGGTGGTTCTGCGGACTGCCGCGGTTAATCAACATCGGAGATTGGTGCTGGGTGCGCTGGGTTGCGGGGCGTTTGCGAATCCAAAAGAGGAGGTGGCGGATTGCTGGGCTGAAGTCTTTCTGGAGCGCGAATTCAGTGGTGGGTGGTGGGAAAGTGTCATATTCGCCGTTATGGATGATCGGGGCGAGGGAGAGGATGGGGATGGAAATTTTGGCGTGTTTTATCGAAGACTAAACGGAGTTATGGTCTAAGTTTGGTAGAATGGTAAAATGGATACCCTTGAATTTCACACTGATGGATTGTTTGCGCAACCCTTTATCGAGTGGGGTCTTTTATGGGGCCAGACGATGTGGATATGAAACCTGGGGAATGTGAAATCTCCATGAATATTGAACGTCCAAATCATGGCGGAGATTTATAAACGAGCATAACCAAGTTGAATCCAAGGTTTTGTCTCGGCTCGCAAAAATGCCAGCCAGTGCCTCCCGATGTGCTTAATTTGATACCAAAAATAAAACGGAATTCAACCTATCTACTTTCTTGACCTTGTGGATCTACGGTTCTTTGGGGTTTTGTTCTCTTCCGTTTGGGCAGCGTCCGTCTGTTTCTTACTCTTAGACTCCTTTATTTTTGGTTCATCTTTTGGCTTCTTCATCGCAGGTTTCTTCGCGGGAGTATGAGTTTCACCATTTTCCACATATTTACTCTCCTTTGAAACAATTCCTCTCTTCTTTTTGGGGGGCTCATTGTTGTCATCCATGGCCTCATCTTCCACATCTCCCGCAACGGGCCCTGTCTTTTTCTGGATAGCTGGTACTATAGCACTGGTGCGACCGCCAACTGTAATAAAAACAATCTTTTCACCATTGGGAAGTTTATGTGAATGGTTTGTTTTACCCTTGCTCCACCGGTGGCTGAATAACCAATTGGACGGGAACTCCTCCGAATTTCCCAAGAGACCAACCGATGTCGAGCACACATAGTTGATCGCGGAGTAGAGCTGTTCGATCTGGCTTTCCTGGAGGGTATTGCTGTATTGTTCTGGATGAATTTTTGCATGGTATAACAATTCGTCTCTAATTATTGCAGATGCCCCTTTGTTAGCAAGGATTCTCCACAGGCAAATCGTTTCAAATCGAAGAAAACTAACCCCATCCAATTCCCAATTCCACTGATATTGGTTTGGTCAAGCAGGAGCGCCTTAATAGGCACTCTTTTGCTCAAAACTTTTTTTCTCAGCCAATCCAAGGTCACGATATCCTTATCCACAATGGGGTCTGGTCCATTCTCCTTGAGAGGACTATATTTCCTAATATCAGCACCAGGACAATCGACCAATCGCACACGACCAAGACGTCTCGCGTCCACAAACGCAGCCTCAGTCTTCGGTTCATCATCAAGCTCAAGCATAAATTTCCAGAATTTTGACGGCCACGGTTCCTCCCCTCTGTCGTTCCCTTTGTCGGATGCTGGGGCTCTATAGTAATATGTATGGACATTTTTCAACTTCAGCCATCCAGTCATACCAAAATGCATAACGGGATGAGGCGGGGAAGACATGATCATCCAGAAATATTTCCCCTGTTGTCCCGTATCCACTATCGATTTTCCTTCCATGTGCTTTTGGAACTCCGCAGCTGTTGTTCCCACCTTACCAAAGACGATAGGGTCATCTTGGACATGAACTTTGGTGATGGTTTTACCCACGAGATATTTGCGAATGTAGTGGACGACCCGTGCAACCTCAGCTAGCTCGGGCATGATGGAAATAGTGACGTCGTATGGACGGGTTTAAGGAAGTTCGAGGCTCTAGTAGTGAGCAGTTTATCGACTTTACGATATATGTTTAGATCAAAACCGATGTATGCCTTGACAGGGCATAAAATCAGATTAAATGCCTCGGGGAAGTAGAAAAAAACGGGAGAAATGGGGGCGATTCTCTCTCAAATAAGGCCAAAGAGATCCAATTCACCCTGCAGGGGAAAAAGAGTGTTGTTCAAGGAAACGCAATCATCCGTGAATGGCAGGCCGTACTATCAGAGAGGGTTCCGTTGAATGAGGAGTAAGTTAGTAACTAGCTAACTAGCCAGAATTTGGGCGATTAGTCATCGATAGACAGTCCATAGAATCAATTGCTGCCTGGATTATCCAGAATGGCAAAAGAACTCCGATATCTTGGATCTTGAAGCCATTTTGCTGCTGAATTTGAGCTTTTGATGTGGATGTTACAGAAGGGTTTATTTTGGCAGTCTTCGATGTGAAACGTGCGATTCCACCCGTGAGACCAAAGCCAAATACGCTGTCATGTGACCTGACATAAATGCAGAGAATTCGGTTGGCGATTCTTCTCTGATTGAATGTTGCATTGCATCTTGCAACTTTGCCCTGCAGAACATCCCATGTCGATCGTACTTCTATTGATTTCGATTTCAGCTTACGGACACCTCGATCTAACACATACCCATTTTGTTTCATGATTTCATCATTGCTTCCGGAGTTTATAATAACATTCTCGGGGTATTTTGGAACCCATAAACATCGATAATAATACCAATGGTATAAAATTATCCCTGCATTCATCCATACTACCATTCACCAAGATAATTTTTCCCGCAAAGTCTAGCTGTCCAAACAATTTCATGCTGGGCTGGTTTTGGGCTACTCCGTCCCGCTCAAACAACCAACCGGCCCTGCCGGCCAAAAGGGAAATGTCCAAACCCTCCTCTCAGCTAACTCTGACTCCACAATTCTGCTTTGACAAGAGAGCTCTCAGAGGTACCCCCTTCCTCCCATGTCCAACATAGCCTTTATAACTACGGCAGACGTCTAACTAGTTTCTTTCCCCCTGCGCCACACTAGACTTCCTCCGCATCTCCCGTTCCAGTGTAGACGACTCCATCACTCAGAATCTGAATGCGCTCATTACACCGGCAGAAAAGGGCTTTGACCCGTCTATGACAACGGCTCGACAAACAGATTATCCAAGCAGAGGGCAAATTGAACCAGAGAAATGTCACTCGTTTCTGGATAATGTCCTCCTCCCATCATGGCAGGCCCGGTCTGACGTGTTGAATTATTGTACTGGGGTGGCAACGAGTCCCGACCCGAACGATCCAGATCTCCTGCTGCGCGAAGTGGAATCGGCAAAGGATAGAGAAAGAGTGGTTGATGAGCGATTAGATCCTTATTCGGCTAGATTTTTTCCGCGCGAAGCAAGGACTGAGTCCCTGGCGATGTTGCTAAGGAATGAGAGGGGAGTGGAAAATATTATTCGAACGAGGACTTGGGGTTTGGTTAAGGAGCGGTGTGAAGTTTCATATGAAAGCTGGGAAGAGACATTGAATCACTGGCGAGAAAAGCAGAATCAAAAATGATGATGAAGAACCCCCCTTTCTGTTGGAGGTTTTGATCCAGCTACGACGTGCCCCTTTCGCTTAAAGAGACTACGAACGCTGCCTTGGGAAATATTTGGAGGATTTATGTCCACAAGATGCATTTGCACGCATTGATGAATGGAGGCGCAGAAGTCCCTGCCAGTTTCATATAAGAGTTGGCAGGTAGCCCACAGGCGTATATATGCCTAAGAGCATTGATGGCTCTCTGTATGTAAAATATGTTTCCAGCATAAATATGTATATAAATTTCTACTCTTCCATGCATTTGACAAATGGTCTGTCAGGAAAGCAGCCATCTCGCGTGTTTTCAGAGCACACACAATAGATTGCAATGAATGCCTCTGTGATAGCGTAATCTCGGTTGCAATGCATCGCCATAGGATAGCCCCATACAATTTATTTAAGTTGTATTAACTATGGGTCAAGTTCCATGGGACAATCAGCAAGGTCACATGACCACTATGCCGGCTACCATCGGTTGACCTGGCGATGTAAACGAAGGCCGAATGTTTCGATGGAATCGATTTAAGAGGCTGATGTTGCTCTCAATTGCACTTCGTTGTGAGCATCCTGTATTCAATCTGAGATATGATGGCTCTACGCTGCAGAGGGTCTTTAACCCAGGCTCTGCTTCCAATCTGCTCTGCTTCCCGTGTGCTGCCCGCTGCTGCCCGTATTTACCCCATCTCTTCTCCCCGCCGAAGATTTTTCCATGGCTCCCCTGCATCGTCGGCGATCAGGTCTCAGGTCCTGAAAGATGTTGGTGAAGGTATGGCCCCATTTTAGAGATAAGGCCAGTGCATCCTCAGTCTGGCGTAACCACCGTGTGCTAACCAACGCGCCTTGAACAGGAATCACCGAGATCCAGATCATACAATGGTACGTCCAGGAGGGGGCCAAAATCGAGGAATGGAAGCCGTTATGCCAGTACCAGTCCGACAAAGCGGTCGATGATGTACGTGTTCCTGTCCATTTGCAGCAGTGGAAGCTCTCGGCCTAACAGATGTCTCTGTAGATAACGTCGAGGTATGAAGGGGTGATTAAGAAACTCCACTTCCGGGCGGATGAAACCGTTCCTACAGGGATGGTAAGAGAATATATGGTCTATTGAACTCTCCCCATGTAGCTTCTATTGACAAATTTAAAAGGCTTTGTGCGATATCGATGTTGATGAGGCAAAATACCCCGTCGAAAATGCAACACCTCCGCCAGCAATTAAGCCGGCCGTTACACCCTCCCTGCCCCTAGAGCAGCAGCAGGTAAACCAGGAGGTAAAAGAAGACTCTGCTATATCTTTGAATACCGCAGAAGCACCACCAAAACCCGTTGAGCAGCCCGCAGCTCTCAAATCTAAATACGCTACTCTTGCAACCCCAGCCGTCCGTGGCATGCTAAAAGGGTTGAATGTCGATATACTAAACGTAACCGGAACCGGCAAAGACGGACGAGTGACAAAAGAAGATGTCCTCCGATATGTCGCGGAACGAGACGCTGGTGCGGCAGAAGTAACGGCATCCTCGTCAGCAACACCGCAACCTCCACAAGCCGCACTGGGTATTAGCACTCCGCAAACAGAGACCTCTACCCCATTGACCCCAATTCAATCTCAGATGTTCAAAACCATGACTCGATCGCTTTCAATTCCCCATTTCCTCTACGCTGATGAACTCAACATCGCCTCCCTATCCTCCATACGCAAGAAGCTCGCAAGTCACCCAACCCACCCCCAGAAACTCTCCTACCTCCCCTTCATCATCAAGGCTGTCTCTCTCTCCCTCAACACCTTCCCCCTCCTAAACGCAAGAGTAGACACCACCAACCCAAACAAGCCTGCCCTAATCATGCGTTCAAGCCACAACATTGGTGTGGCCATGGACACGCCGACGGGTCTTCTAGTGCCAAATATCAAAAACGTCCAGGCCCGCTCCATCCTCGATATTGCCACGGAACTCGTCCGTCTCACCGAGGTGGCGCGTGCGGGCAAATTGACCCCCGCAGACCTGAATGGCGGAACCATCACGGTGTCCAACATTGGTAATATTGGAGGCACTTATGTTGGTCCTGTCATTGTGCCGAACGAGGTAGCCATTCTTGGCATTGGGAGGGCGAAAATAGTCCCTGTTTTTGACAAGGCGGGCAACGTGGTTAAGGGCGAGAAGGTGAATTTTAGCTGGAGTGCGGATCATAGAGTTGTGGATGGGGCGACGATGGCTAGAATGGCGGACAGGGTGAGGGGCTATTTGGAGGAGCCTGAGTTGATGATGTTGGCGTTGAGATAGGCGGTTGGTGAGGATCCATCATATATTCATATCTGTATACCCATAGATAGATACACATACAGAGAGAGATAGAGAAAGAACTCTTCTGTTTAGATTGGAGGAAGGATGGGATGCTCTTTTGTTACTCTTTTTTTCTTTTTTTTGGTGGGGGGGGTTGGGGTGGGGTGGGGTTGCGTTGTCCAATGACTTCCCATGGTGATGCCGATGTGCAGCAAACGTTAGGCCAACTTTGACATGCATGTGTGGCATGTGTTTTGTACCGTGTGAACGTATATATGTTTCCTAAATTTATATAGAAAGATATGGCATTGCTGATTGTTGGGGCGCATCTTGCGAAGATTGTGCTTTAGGGAGATAACAATAAAGTTGATTTCCTTGTTATACTATATTCTTGACCGATTCACTGCTGAGGAGCTAGCTATATCAAATTCAGAATTTGATAGAAAGTATATTGAAGTGATTGAATTTTGCACGGGTCCAGGGCTCAGCTCCTGAATACGGACTTAAATCTAGAAGCCAGGGGGAGAAAAATTGTATATATATGTCTCATATTGCACCAATATACGCTTCCAATCCACCCTTAGCAAAATAATTTGCAACTGGTATATGCTGGACCCGCCAAAACACGCCAAACCAAAATCGAAAAATAATAATAATAATAATAATAATAATAATAAACTGACGTGGGACTTGCGAGCGTACAAAAGTATGAATGACAGAGCAAATGTGCCACGGTAAACAAATAGCAAAGAGACAAACGAGTGGGAAATCAAGAAATCAAACAAAATCACACCAAATAAAAACATCTTCCGGCGTCCAGTTGAATAATATATTGGTGCCGGATGTTTAACAAGAAGGGGGAAGTAGTAAATAGTGAATTGTGGCCTTAGGACGGGGTAGTCTGAAAAGAGAAAATGAACGTGGGAAGTAGGTTCACGCAAGTGGCAGCATCTATCGATGCAGACCTTATAGCGAGGACGGAGCGTGTAAAAGATAATATTTAATATTCCTGCTGGTTTTTTCCCTTGAAGGTTGATACTGTCCATGTGTATGTTGATTTTGAGTTGGAATTGCTCCCCGCGAAACT